CAACATCAAAGACAACAACAACAACAACAACAACAACGACTAAGAAGACCTATACCGACCTCGCAACGGCTTAAAAGGATCAGTTTATAAGATCTTATAAATAAATATATAAACTATTGCTTAGTTAGCAAGAACATCGAAGAGTATTTGATGGCTGGCGGGGTTAATAGAAAGTCGGCCGTGGAAATTAAAAAAACATATTGCATTGGATATATGTATTCCAATCAGTAAAGGTGCCCTGCAAATACATTCGGGCATTTGGGTTTGATACTGTGCCTTATACGAGCTATGTACTCTTTTCCTAGTTGGTCAAAGCAGTACCACTCATATCTTGGCATAAAAACTCCTTTCTGATCATTCGATGCTTCTTTGATGAACAACACGAGGTTATTACTGTGTGCTTCATTTATGAATAAGCTGACGTTTCGGCAACTTTCGCCTTCTTGGGAGCCTGGGTAGGTCAGGTTGACCGGGGTCTACCAAGCCAAAAACCTCCATAACCAAACAGAGAAAGTGCTAAACCGAAATTGCAATCAGATTCAACACAAAATAGCTTTTTCTCACGCTCACCGCTTCCTACTAGTCTTCCAGTAAGCATGTCAACGTAAGACCAACAGCACAGTTTCCAAACGAAGGCGTAATTTGCCTCCGAAATTAAAATATATGCGACTTAAATGCTGATCAAGATCACGCGTGACTGCTAATAACTATCGCGCGAAGAGATATCGCTCTAACCTCATAAAAGTTCAAAATCGCGCTATGTGAGAGGCACGAGCGCTGATAAGCTTAAAAAACGTTGGACACTCCGTTAATGACAGAGTTGGCTCGTGGTAGTTGCTCATCAGTGAGATGCTGAGACAACGAATAAGCACCTTCAATATGCTTCCCTTTGTCTCCCGTCGTCCGAGAAAGAATTCAAAAGTCAAAACCTATAACTAAACAACGAGTGGGTCGAAGTGGCAATAGCGACTGGTTTAAAATCACTCTACTCAAAATTGATTTACTAACATATCCCGTCTTATTCTTATTTACCAAAACTCATCAGTTAATATCCATTGGTGATATGACGTCTGCCAACCTCAGCCCTCAAGGTTGCAACCATTATCAGTTGTGTAGACGGGCCCATCGATGTAATTACTTAATTCGTGAACCTAATTCTTATCCAGTTGCTGCAGGACATGCCAGTCCATCTCACCAATACCTACCTGGATCGTCTGGCAACTTGTCGAATTACTCTGAAATGCAAGCCATCCGCGAGCTTTTTGAGCAACACAAAGGAGCAATTAACATGCATGGCTTTTCGATTCAGCAGCTTATGGGCATCTTAAAGGTTTGCCTAAATTGCTAACTAAACCTTGTTCCGGGAAGTATTACGCACAATTGAGAGGGTTGACAGTGGTATATTGACTGACACCAAGCTTTGCCATTATATTTTGAATGGACGGTCAGAGTACATAATATTCACGAGACAGAAACCGTAATGAAACTGGCCTTCATTTCTAAGCGTTCAAGTTAACTTGCGAGAAAACGACTACATCATAGAGCAAACAGCAAGGACATACCAGTTTACTACCTCTCCTCTCACCGCTTACACGCCATTATGGCGCTAGTAAGAAATATGTTTCAAACGGCCACTGATGTATGAACAAGGACGTCTTTTTTTGAAGATAAGAAATTACAAAGCTTTCAGCATTGATCAAATGATGGAGCTCGCTTGCATTCGGCTTTATTAAGTATGCTTAGTGGCTACTGGATACATATCTGGGCTATACACTCACTTGCGGTGGCCTACCGATGTATCAGATCGGTAATGCTATCCTCCCAGACAAGTCTAGTATCAATTTGCAGACCGCGGAGAATGGAAGACTTGATGAACGCTGTACACGTAATCGAACCAAAGACCATGTGTTTATTAAAGTGCACCTTTAACAGCTGCGATACACGGCCATTTTTCTTATCACGTTAGAGAATGTATTTGGCACATATACGGACAGTGCCGATTGTGCAGAAATCAAACAACCACGAATTTGTCTGTAATGGTTTGATGATTTTTTTAAAATAGAGTTTTACGTTTTCCTTCTCACACTACGTAACAATCGAAAAATCAAATTACTAAATTTTTTCATAATCTTTTTAATCTTTAAAGCATTTTATGCCGATTATAGGCTACTGGAGTTCGGATGCCAAATACTAGAACGGAACGCTGCAGTTTGATTAAAGCCATAGTTTTTTTTGTCAGCATTTCATGTTGTATACTGTCGTCCGGGTACGAATACGCTGCTGAAACAATTACAGCACTCTGCATCCGTATAAAAAAACACTTGGTAAATTTACAATGAAACCAAACACTCCACAAGGCGCGCATAGCACGCAAAAACATAAGGGATAAGATTTTGAAGTAGAAGTCACCATCTTCGCACAGGAATCCAAAACGTCAACGCGTAAAAACTCTTAAGGCGTTTTGGATTAACTCCAAAAGTCCAAAAATGGACCGCAAGAGGAGTATTTTGTTCACCACACTTGACCTTGCGCCATACCTCAGGCTGACCCAATGACCCAGGTACAGTCTTCGTCCAGGAATTTGTCTGTGCGGCTGCTTTCCATGAACCAATTTAAATACTTGCAACGAGTAAATGGTGGATGTTTAAATGAAGCTGTTTGTTATGCGAATGAAAATTTATGCGTTACGACTAGTCTACTGAGGTTATGGAAGTGTTTGGCCTAGTAGAGGGCATGTTAAGTTGACCTTTCCAGACTGAAGAAGGCGAAACCGTCAAAACACCTGATATTGTGTGCTTATAAATGTTGTAATACCAATCTCGTATTTGCTCACTGAAGGTAAATAGTGAATTAGTGATTGCTGAGATCAATACAAACTCAGTCTTGGGATTTAGTAAAATGATTGCTTTTAGAAGCTGCATTTTAATAATATAAAGTTAAAGTAGTTGAAATAATTCTCTTCACAAGATAAGCGTCCATAAACTTTAAGAGGACAACATCAACGAGTATAAATGAGTGATAAAGCGAAAAGGTGGAGTGAGATCCACGCCTAAGATGTGTATCGGATAGAACCAGGAATAGAAATGTGCAAGAAACTTGTTGAAATCTTAGAAGGCGCAGAATTCCGCTTTTCTCTGCACCAGCTGATCCGTGACACAAGACATTGTAGGAGAAGCAAGTGTAGCTAAAGACAAGCTGTACAATTTATAACTACTTATAACTTGTAACTTTTTAGTTAATGACAACCTATTTTTGAAGTGACGACGCGAATCCAATACGCTTTTGTCTGAGGTCGAATATGTTGCAGAATTGACGGATGAATGGAGTGTCGAGAATCCAAGCCTGTCCGAAACCACCGAACTCAGCTGGAGCGATGGCCAGTAAACACTTGTTTTCTGCTACCTAATTTAAACATTCGTGGGACTGAAATGCTAAGAATGTTGAAAATTACGCCATAGATTCTCAAAAAAAAAGTGAAAAAAGCCCGTTGGAATAAGTTGTTAAGAAGAATGTAGCAAAACTCACTTTAAAAATGTAGTTGATGGGGTCTATGCCATACTTTTTTTACCCATTGTAATATCAAGAGTGGGTCGTGTGGCATTACATTCTATCGTATACAATTCCTCAGTACTGTTGAACTAAAATTAGGAAGAAGTAATGAATTCTAATGCTTATACCAAAATCATGTCTTGCTGAATTCTTCGGAAATAGAGAAATTACTAGGTTCTGGCACAAGACTTAATCTCAGAAATTCTTTACCACAGATCCGGCAGCTTTAGCGAGTTGGTCGGTAAGTCTTCGGGTCCACTGATATTCGATGTTCCAGTGTCGGTAATGGCCTCGTAAACCTTTTGATGCGTGTAGTTTCCCATGCCAATAGCAGTGATCTAAAAAATCTCTCTTTACATTCTAAGAAAACTTTAAATCCATGTATGTGTAACAAAAGTTGCTATAAAAATATCGCCAAAAGCGATATATATTGTCAGAGTTGGCTAAGAACTTTGTATGCATTGACGAACAGTTCCTGATGAGCAGATTGGAAGCTGTTACGAGCTCTTTAGCGTTTGATAATGAAAGACTTCGTAAAATACTTCATGTAGGTTCTTCAAAAGCACCTCGTTACCTTAAACTTATAATATGCCTCAAATGACATAGGTTCGAAGGCGACGATTGGTCCACAATTATTCGCGTCTATTGCACCGTAAGTGAACAATCCTGCAGGCTTTCCTTTGCGTGCTGCTAAGTGCTGCATCCAAACAGTGAATAGTGGTTGATCAAGTAATCCTTAGAGTGTTACACTCAGTAGTTATCTCCAAAATCGGGTCCACAACCTTATAGTAGTAATGTCTTACCTTGGTTAATGGCATTGATGAAAGGCGGAACGACATGCATCACGGATCGAATATTGAAAGCGAGACCGAGAATTCCATCAGCGTGACGCTGAAGCGAAACTCCGTCACCATTATTCTGTGGTCTTACATTTCCAGATGTTCATTAACCTGTTTAAAATTCGAACAGATATGACTGGCTAGGCCAAAAGTGGTGTTCGGAACCACCAGCTGCTCTTCATCCAATCCACCGAACTAAAATACATGAAAGCCTAAAGCAAGGCATATTTCGAGACAACGAGCTTATGTTACCAACCTTCATGATATCAACTCCGAGAACTCCATTTGCCGGACCGCTTTGGTACTGTATTGACCATTTCTTGCTCGTCTCCACAAAGGTGCTCGATAAATTCGATTCAAATTTGTGCTTCCCATCGCGTGATTCACTCAAATCGTTTGGGGAATTTTAGAGCGAAACTACTTTTGCAAAAATTCTTCTCCATTGTTATAAATGAAAAACTCTGATGCCACTTAGTTCTCGTTTGATGGGTAAGTATGAGTTTTATAAAAGTCTTTGAGCATAAAAGTTTTCAAACTAGGGTATGATTTCGTGTTTTCATCGATCGAAATTCTCTAATATCTAGAAAACTTCAGTGAGTCATCTCCAAGTACTCATTCACAATCACTTCCCAGAACCCACAGAATATCCGATCCGGTGTCAACAATAACGATATATTGCTGATCAGGCGTTCCGACTGTGATATTACCGACGTACGCCATTTTTCCGTAGTCAACCACCTTAAGTAAAGTTTTGATTGATTTTATTGTTGAACAACAAATTGCTTCCACCAGAAACTTTTCGTTCACTTTTCACTTCGTTCACTTTTCGTTTCGTTTTTCGAGTGGCTTCAGCCATCAGGGGTGCAACTGCATTTGTTCTCTACACCGTAGGCTTAGCGATGATCTTTTAGACGATAAGAACAACAACTATCGGTGTTGTTGCGACGATCTCTACTAGATTAAAGGTGCGACTAATTTGTGAACTTGAATGAATTTTACGCTGCGGTCAAGGAAGCATACGCGCATGACAATTTCTCAGAATTTATGAACTCCTACTTTTTTTTCAATATTTACATCTCTGAGGTACGACGTGGATCAGTCAATGCATAAGGCGTCCTAGGTTTCAAGCCGATAAAAAAACAATGGAGAAATACTAGAAAAATTCCATTCTCTACGAAGAATTATCCTCCTTTACTCTATGAAATCAATCAGCTGATAATGCATTTGAAAATCGGGTTATGGCGGTCTTAAGGCCATGTCCTACAAAGCTGTGTTCGTTATTAGTACTGAACCACAACTAATGTCTCAAAATATCGCGATCTATCCACCTTTTTTGGATACGTAAACAAGGCATGAGGTCCGCAAAAATACAGTGCACATAAATGTTGTAAAAAAATCGTTAAATGATTATTAGAGAAGTTGAAGGCTAGAGAGGAACTTGCTGTTACCCGCTGCGTCATAGTGGCGAGTGATGCTGAGCGCAAAGCATTGTGGTATTTCACATGGGCAGCGTACTCGCCTCGCTCCATCATCTCCATCTGTTAAAAACGACGACTTTGTTTTCTAACTATTAAAAAAACACGTTAGCTAACTGCTAATACCATTTTTGATTTGCGCCATATAATAGGATGCCGAAGAACAGCTGCCGCAGATATCCCAACAATAGCTAGGAAGGCAGAGAAGCTCATCCTAAAATACAACCTAGATTTAGTTTAAACCACCTCTCTCAGGTGAGATTTTGCAAATATGGATTGACTTGCAAGTAACGTATTTGATCCTCATTGAAGCATGCTGAGATGTGAGCAGAACTCGGAACCCAAGGTGTTCTTCGAACTCGCGACTACCCTTTCAAGATGCTTGCGTGTTACCTGCTGCATGCTCTTGTAACAATATGCGTTCCTCCTTTGATGAGCTTACAAGAGGTTGATAAATATATTTATTTTCGGCTAACGTTTCGACGACTTGGTTTTCATCAGAGCCGATGATCCAAGTTGATGGTCTAAGCTTGTTATTCGTCTTGATGTGGCGGCTTCGCCTTCGTGTCAAGTCAGGTCTTCCTCAGCGGACCATCTCCTCGAATGAGGCACATACTCGATAATTCTCTTTTATGGTGCTATACATAGATATATACTAATGTTATTATCAGCTAATACAAAGCAGTATATATGTTTAGAGCTTTATCCTTTTATTTATCCTTTTCAATGGAAATGGAGAGCTTAAAGTGGTATGCAAATACGACCAAACCAAGCTCTATGTGAATGGAGTAGATGAAAAGTGTGTGCATGTACCATTTATAGAGGGAATTGAAAGATAGGTGATACCAAGACGAAATTTAGGAGTTGCCTTTCAATAAATTAATTTAAAACACTTTAGACACTTATTGCGAGAAAACGAGCGTCCACATACCTCGAGAAACAAGCGAAAGCAGTGAGCTTAAACTAAATATTTACTGCCTACTCTTTTTAACGGCAGGTATATTGTGAAATATAACTTCAATGATGCTGAGATATTTGCAAAACTCCGGACCGCAGGTGTCTGCAGTGGGTAACGAACGCGCTATTGTCCCTTCTGAAGAGTAACGCGTTCACCACCACACCAAGCGATTCCTTCGTTTCGCTTGTCTCTCAGCTAGTTCTATCGATCTACGGTATATTATATGCAATGACTATCTAATTTTGTAGTGATGGCGCAAATCCAATACGCATTTTCCCGATGTCGAAAATGTTGCAGAATTGGTAGAAGAATGGAATGCCGAGAATCCAATCCTGTCCAAAACCACCGAACTCAGAGGGAACGAAAGAAAGGAAACAATTGTTTGCTCCTGCCTAAAGCACGAAAACATGTTAACGTAAATCGAAAGAAAAACAGGTAGAAAGTGTTTCAAAAATATCGGAAACAATATGAAAAATACAGTAAACAAACAGTTGAGAAGAATGGAGTGAAACTCTCCTTAACAATGTAGTTAACAGAGTCTATGGGATACTTGTCTGTTCCGATTGTTATGTCAAGAGTAAGTGAAGTGGCGTCACATCCTATTTTGCAGAACTCCTCAGTGACGTTGTACTGAAATGAAATGGTTTTTTTTTGTGCTAGCTGATAATACACCGACCTCTGCACGATGCGCGCAATGATGTATGTCCGGAAGAAATACAAGTTGTTACCACCGGACCTTGTCATTATATATCCACCATCAGCATCGTGTATGAAAGGGCATCACTGAGTGAGGATGCCTCATTCGAGAAGATGGCTCGCTGAGGAAACCTGGCTCGACAGGAAGGCGAAGACGCAACGTCGAGGCGAACAACAAGCATGGACCATCGACTCGGATCACCGGTTCTGAGGAAGACGAAGACGTCGAAACGTTAGCCGAAAATAAAAATATATTTATCAACCTCGTGCAAGCTTATCAAGAAAGAATACATATTGAAATGGTTTTGTTAGGTGCAAATACTGAACATAGATGTCGGTATGTTTATACCACAGCTCCGACAGCGTTAGCGAGCTGGTCGTTTATAGCTTTCGGTCCGCCGATATATGATGTACCAGTATCGGGAGCAGCTTCGCAATCCTTTTGGTATGTATAATTTCCTATCCCAATTGCGGACATCTGAAAATTCTATTTTACTGGAAATAGAAACGTTAATGCTAACTTCTTATTTGCTGCCTACTACAATTTTCACGACAGGGTATCATGCGAAATCCAACTACAAAGATGCTGAGATATTTGCAAAACTCCAGATGGTAGGTGTCTGCGGTGCGGAACGAACGCGCTATTACCCTTTCCGGGAGCTAACGCTTTCGCCACCACACCATACCGGCCTTTCGCTTCGCATGTTTCTCGGCTAGTTCTACTTTTGCAATGGATTTCGCATAATACATTGCATAATATATATAATAGTCCTGCTGTGGAAATTGTAGTAGGCAGTAAATAAAAAGTTAACAGCATACATTAGCTTCCATAGAGAAACAATACAATACAACGCTAGCTGACGTTTCGGCAGTATCGCCTTCTTCAGAGCCGCTTTTTCGTGACTTCCAATGAGGAAGTTTAGAACAGCTGATTACAATACAATACAACGCTAGCTTCGTCGTCAACCACATACGACATCAGCGACTATAAAAAGCGGCTCTGAAGAAGGCGATACTGCCGAAACGTCAGCTAGCGTTGTATTGTATTGTTTCTCTATGGAAGCTAATGTATGCTGTTTAAAAACCTCGCGATTGCTGAACAAGAAAACGACACATTCATATTCCAATGCCGAGGTTAAGAGAAAGTCGATCCTGGGAACTATTAAAAAGTTAACATTGTGATTTTAACTACAGCTTCAACTTATTTGGGTTCAATGCCGATTTTGGTTCCGCAGATCAATCGCGTTGACAGGTGATTGCTGATAGCAGTGATCGGTAGAACTAGCTGAGAGACAGGTGAAACGAAGAACCCGCATGTTGTGGTGGTGAACGCGTTAGCCGTCGGGAAGGGTAATGGCGCATTCGTTACCCGCCGCAGACACTTGAGGTCTGCAGTTCTGCAAATATCTTAGGATCTTTGTATTTAAAAACACTAACACTTATTCATTTTTTAAAATCTTAAGCATTGAAAAGTTGTCAACAACCTCGCGTTGGTTTTTCAAAAGAAGTTCATAACCTTGAAGTGATAATAAGCTCCAGATGAAAGGGGCTCGTAAGTGATAACTGGTCCACAATTCTTCATGTCAATTGCACCGTAAATGAATAATCCTCCAGGTTTCCCTTTCAGTGCTCCTTGGTGCTGCATCCAAACGGTGAAGAGTGGTTGATCGAGTAAATCTTAGATTATTCTAATTAGTAAATGTAGCCAATATAGGATACATAAACTTAATCAAGTATTGTCTCACTTTGATTAATAGCATTAATGAGTGGCGATCCAATATTTTTTATAGAGCTAGGACTGAAAGAGAGACCGAGGATACCATCGTTGAGTGCCTGCAACAAAAGTTCAGGCACTGTTCTGGATGCAACTAAGATTTGTAGTTGTTCACTAACCTCTTCAAATTCCGAAGAGATATGATTGGCTAGTCCAAAAGTGGTGTTGGGAACCGCTAGCTGTGGCTCATGCAGTCCACCGAACTAGAAATACATGATCGCCTAATGAAAAAATTATTCCGGCATAGTAACTTTTATAATTATAATAATATTTATAATAATAACATATAGTTATTATTACAGCACAGACCTTCATAACGTCTGTTCCGAGAATCCCATACACCTCTCCGCTTTTGTACTTCATTGACCATTGCTTACTACTCTTCACAAAAGTGCTTGATAAGTGGGGTTCGAACTCATGTCTCGTATCACATGTGTGACTTAAACCGTCTACTAACCTTTATACTGCAACTACTACTGCTATATATCTTTTCTGTAGTATACAAAAAGCATGCAAGGGTATCTACGTTTTTCATAAAACGAAGAATGAGACAAATAACTAGACTGAGCACTTCACCATCACTGCTCTCTGGCATAACGCTTTTTCTCCAGTATATCTAACTAAGCTTTTGAGAAATAGCTTTATGGATGCTTTGCTATGAAGATTTTAAAATTAATGGATCAAGCAAAAGTTCCAATATATTGAAAGCAATTTAATCTCTAAGATACTTCATCGCCACCAAGCACTTATTCGCAGTAACATCCGGGAATCCGTGGCAACTGCGATCCGGTGTCAACTACGACGCTGAATTGCTGATCGGGTGTTCCGATTGTGATATTACCGACGTATGCTTGGTTCTCATAATCAAGCACCTAAAGCAAGATATCACACCCTTTGCATCGCAGGACCTTAGCTTATGTTTCGATCACGTAAGCGGTTTGAAGTTTAACTCTTCTTGATCTTATGAACAGTGAGCCACTAAATGAGCTTCGTTCTCTCGAAGCAAGCAAGGGCATAATACATTTAATTTATGCATTTGCGCCTTCTGTTCAGTTTCTTCACTCGTTCTAGAAAACGAATGCCACGCTAGAGTGGCACTAGAGTGCACAAAGCTCCATATGTTCTTTGTTGACGACAATTTCTCTGAAAGAGAAAGTTAGAAAAAAAATTGCTCTTGCCTGTTGCCCTATACTGATGAGTGATGAAGACCGTAGAGCATTACGGTATTCGACGTATGCAGCATATTGGCCTTGCTCGATAATCTCAATCTGTATCAAGTAACGACTTCAGTCTAACAAGTTATATATTTTATTTAGCTAAATTCTTTTACCATTTTTGGCTTGTGCCATACAAGAGGTTGCTGAAAAACTACTGCTGTAGACATCCCAACAATGGGTAGCAAAATGGAGAAGATCATGGCAAGAAACATCTTGAAGTATTCTTTAAAACAGCACTTAAGGGCTGCGCTGTCAGACCTATGAGCTGATGATTATGTATATATCATTCATTCGCCAAATATTCAGTGATAACTCCTAGTTGTGGAAAAACTCGCCACACGTCATAGAACAATATGTGAGCAGCACTGAGAAAGATGGCGAAAAGCATTTAATGAATAAAAGAATGTTAAGAAAGGTGAAAAAAGTTCTCGGCGTTGATCAATCCTTGAGGGATGCGCCATGCATTCGACGTCATTAAGCATCGTTGGAGATGACTTGTGATGTTTAACCCACTGCTAAAAACCCTGTCACAGGCATGTCTTGTGTGAACTTATGTGGCATGATTAATCGCGTGTGATCAAATTTCCATGGGGAAGGGGTGTGGCCCTGTATGGTTGATTAGGAAGCACTCAAAGCAACCTCCGAATCGAAATGGGAAACTGAGAAAAGATCCATCAAAACCTAAAAGTAAAGTGGCAGATGATAGTACTTCAAATTGAGATGACATTAAATTGATCAAAAGCTTTGTTTTGACCAGTCAGCACTTTCTTCTGTTTGGTTTTGGGTTTGCTTACTATCAACAGCAAGACTACAGCATAGATCAAGCTGCAAATGAAGCATTGCTATAAATGTAAATTAGGACGAAAATGTAAACCTAAAACGTTGTTTAAAATGAAGAGCTAAAATTCACACGTCATGGAAAAGATGCGAAGGCGCAATGCTTGCTGCTGGATGGTGTACTGAAGTTTTGGTGATAAGACACTTGTTTATTCTTATGAATTTCCGCAATCTGTAGTCGCCAAGCAAATAAGAACTAACAAATCTACTTGAGGAGTTTGATGTTAATGACTTCTATCTTGATGACAATCGTTTGTTACAGCAATCATAAGCCAGGAAAGGGTTCTATCAAATCTTTTTGAATTTGCACACAGAACGACATGGACAAAGGACAAAACAAGAGACTTATTCAACGTGTTGGTTGGTGGATCTCTCTTTCTCTGCGATTTAGGCGAAGGGGCGTGCAGTGCCGCGGTACCCTGACGGTGATGCTGTCATTACGAGCATGGTGCTGGTTCAGCTCCGTACTAGAGTCGCAAAACTTCTCACCTCTCCGAGGCCGAAAAGTTAGTTCAACGGCATTCATGAAGAAGACGAAGACTCACAAGCAGTAAACGTCACACGCAAATTCGAAGACTTTTGTGAATCATGCATGTTATGAAAAGAACCGACTACAAAAAATGCTAGAGTCCGCACAGTGGATGTGTGGACGAATCATGTAGAATAAAAAAAGTAAAAAAAATACTCTTTAACAACTCATCAATGACTGGTTGCGTTTCATTTTTGCTTGCTTGTTTTCTGGAATCACCTGGAACATATTTGTACCGATTTGGCTATAGCAACATGGGAACGTTGACTAACACATTTGTGTAAAACGTATTTATGCGTTCATCTAAAACTCAGAAAACAGTTTTTTTTAGTGGAAAAGTGAAGCCTGCAGAATCCGAATGTTTCCTGGGGCAAATGTTCATTTTTTGTCTTTTTCGATTATTAAGCCAGTGCGACGTTGATAAAAAAGATTTATTCGGGCAACGTTTCGGTGATCTCGCTTACATCATAGCCGGATTGATTCGAATCGGTGGTCCAAAGGTAGTCGGCCTCTCGATGTGGTTGCTCGTTCTCGTATCGAGTCGAATTCAGTGAAGTGGAGCATCAAGCGCATGGAAAATTTCTCGGTACGGCGTCTTACAAAAAGCTTTAGTGGACGAAGGTCGCCGCAACACCGCAATGAATCGAGAACTCGGTGAATGCTGGTATTCTTGAATTTCGTCTAAAATTAATATTAAAATTGCGTCTTCCGATAATTCTTTTTCTTCCCGAGATGCTACATGTTCAAGTCATCCTCCACTTTCGGTTATTGCAAATACTTTCGATGCTATTCCTATTTCCAATCTACAGTTCAGCGTGCTCTTTATTCGACTCCAAACTTAAATTTGTATCATAAGAAGTTGTTAGTTGTTGTGTCTGATTCGGTATGGTAAGACTATGGAGAGGTTTGACTGATTGTTGTTAACTTGACCTTTTCAGGCTTTGAAGATGGCGCTTTCGTGAATAAAGGATACAGCAGTGAACTCGTTAGCGCTTATTGAGAGAAAGGCGAGTTATTTATCAACGCCGAGGTTAACAAAGAAGTCGGTCAAGGGAATTGTTGCAACACTTATTCTCTACGTGGGTCATCAAATAGAACTGTTACCTGCTAAATTCCATGCT